CCCCCCTTTCCCTTTTTCCCACCCTGAACATGTTCCTGACTCTGTAAAAGGTCTAGTATTTAATCTGTTTTGCAGTCGTCTTCTGTTCCCTTTCCCTGTTTTGTGTTTGTTGTTGTTGTTGTTGTTGTTTTTCTTTGTTTTGTTTTGTTTCTTTTTCGCTTTTTTTATTTTTTTGGCTCTTGGCTATGTTTGAGGGTGTTCTTTGTTCAACACGGTTTCCTGTTATTGGTACATATTGGTAATATTTTTTTAGATATGGAATCTAACTCTCAACATTACATTGCACCCCAGAGTCACTGACAAGGTTTCAGAATGGTCCGAGAAAATGGCGATAGTGAAGAAACACTTGAACATGCACGAAGTGACGGCAGACGAGAGCTTTATTAGCAAGTCCCAGTACACCACCAAAGGCATCATCCTCCAGGTCATAGTGGTCAGCATGTGTCTTATATCGTTCTGGTGAGTTTCTTACAAGTGTTTGTTCGTATGTAGTGAAGGGCTACTTTCTGCTGGCTGTCTCTCTAATATAGAGTGTTTCAGTGACGAAACATTCGAAGCGCATTCTCTCGGTTTGGGCGAGACACAACGATATAAAGACAAGATAAACAACCAAATTGCAGAAACTGATTCGAATTAGTTTTGGTCTCTCTCACGTTGTTGTTGTTGTTATTGTTGTTGTTGTTGTTGTTGTTGTTGTTGTTTTGTTTTGTTTTTAAATTAGTATTTCACTAAAGAAAGGCTGCAGGTCAGAAGGGTGATTTTTTTTGGAGGGGGGGTTAGTATTTTTTATTTATCTTTTCTTTTTTTTTGGCGGGGGGGGGGGTGTCTTTACCGCAACGTTTAGTACGAACGAATAGAATAACTCAGAGGAACAGAGCCTCGTTTTCTCCACTTAACTCTAAAAAGCTACAACAACCACAGCAACAACAGCAAAAGCAAAAATTACAGTTCAAGCAGCACCACCACGACCACACTACCCCATCAAAAACCAACAAAACCAGCACCACTCCCACCACCAACAGCAATAATAAAAATGAACACATGAACGACAACCACGACGAAAACAACAGCGACTTCAGATCCACCACCCCCCTTTTCCACACACACACACACACACACACACACACACACACACACACACACACACGCACACGCACACGCACACGCGCAC